TCAGGTGATAAGGATCTAACATGTCAAAAAACCATTAATTAAAGGTTATAAAACTCATGTTTGCCTTTTCTAAAGAAGAAACAATTTAATCCTTTCTAGGACAAAATGTGCTTTAATTAAAGCATAGGTTATTATTTTCTTGGCATGTAACAAACTTTGTTTCAATGCCATTCTTGGTTATTTGCCACCTTTTGATATAATACAGTATGATATTTGAAAACATCTTGGAATTCGGTAAACCAATTGTTGTTTGGACTTTATTGATTAAAAGATTTTTGCTTCAGACATCTTTGATTTATTAATTGGTAAAAAAACATCTTACAGGCCGTTTGACAGACGTCCAAAGCCTCTTTTGATGGGTTTCCAATATTGGATCTAATATCAACTATTTAATAATGTTTTGCACTAAATTTGTACAAATATCGAAGTGGAAATAACATAATCCTGATATATGTATATAACTGTTGTAATACATCGGCAAAACTATATTGAATATTTACATTAAAATAATCAATGTTTCTTCAAATGGCTTTTTTCTTATATTTTTTTTTCACAAAACATATTGGAAGGTTCAGAAGATTGATCTATATATACACGTTTAAAAACTTTTATTAGTTATTACTGATAAATATGAAACTACATGTATGTAGATTTCATCCTAACACAGTCATCATGGACTCAATTAAACAATTACTTAGACAGATGCCGCTTGTGGTTTAGAGATTGCCTTTAAAGCTTGTGGCGTAAGGGTTGCTTCCACCGATTATTCAAGCGTGATAAACAGAACAGATACGACTAAATGGGGACGAATAACTGGAACCTAAGCAATTATTAGCTCTGCAGATGAGGTGTTGTTGACCCTAGTGCTGCTTTGCAGTTTGTAAGTTTAAAGGTTAGCCGAAATATTTTTTCGTGTTTAGGCGCCATATGACCTTAACCGTGTTTGGTGCCGTAAATCCAACCAACTAAAAAACAAAAGAAAAATTGAATGTAATAAGGTAACGGTTATGTAAGTTGAGAATTGCAGTAAGTATTCTATTTGCTTTTACTCGCCGTATACAAAGTCAAAGAGCTAAATTCATTTCAACTTAGTTACAGTTATGTTATCATATTTCCATAGCGAGATGTTCTGATATAATTAGCAAGAATACTAAATATTATAGAAACATTTTTTTTTAAACTTTCAAGCTGTTCATAGTTTCTTTCAATTTCAACAATAACTTAAAATGTAGAAAAATTCAGCACAAATGGCCTTGTCTCATATTTGAAATATTATTAATAGTTAGTATGTCAAAATGATAAAACATTGTGCATAGAGGTTTATTCTTTATTCTTGAATAATACTCGAGCGATGATTATTTGTGTGGCTTTCTGGTCAAACCCATATAATAAATATTCCGTGTTGCTGGTGTTCTTCCAATATTGTGAGATTACGTTGACAAGAATTAATACTGAATCTGTCACAAAAGGTTAAAATTCCTCTGAAGGCAAGTGTTTATGGTGACAAGGACAAGACAGTCTTCCTTTCTGTCAGACGGTAAATCTTTTGAATCATTGTCATAGCAGATGAATATAAATCTAATGAGTCAGAAGATTTTTTATATACAGTATTTCACATATGTTGTTATAATTTACTATCCTGTTTTATTATAAATTGATATATTTTGAATTTGTATATTTATTTTCGTGTACAGCTACATATCATACTAATAGGTTTGGAATTATAAATTGCAAAATCGGTTCAAATGCTGTTACATTGCATTGATTATAAAATGATCATATCGGAACTATTTTTTTTTTGTATACAGTTGCATCATAAATGATCAATCTAAATCTAGTCATAAGAAATATTAAAATCTGAAAGTCCTTATAGAACACCTTTAATTTCTTTTGTATAGATAATCTCAAATAAAGGAGCATGTACTTATCATTGCAATAATAGCATTACTAGAATTAAAGCATCATGCCTCCAATTTACATGAAAATTAGCATGAATCATGCTAATTATCATGAGAATTTGAAAATGTATTTAACAGTATAATATTGTAAAGTTACCAAAAGAATGAAATGAGCACATTATCAATTGCACTTACAACCCACGTAAATAGCCATAAAGAGGTCAAAATATGCAACAAGAGCAATCAGTAATCACATGTGTCGCCTCATGATGGCCAATTTCATGTTGAGACAAATTTTGTGACAGACGGACAGACAGACGGACAGTGCACAACTAGACTTGGTACTGATCATTCCTGTAAAGTTTGGATAAAATTGCACCAGTAGTTTATGAGGAGTAGTCCGGACAAGCTTTTGCGTATCTGGCAACACACAGAAAAAAACACATTTTTATCAAAGGGCCATAACTCAAACCAAAATTCATTCAACCGGAAAACCCGTGCAAATATGCGCAAGGACTTGAGCTACAGATCAATCCTGTAAAGTTTCATTGAAATTGCATTAGTGGTATAAGAGAAGTAGTCCGGACAAACTTTAAAATTAAAAATTATTAAAGGGCCATAACTCTGACAAAAATCATTGAACCGGAAAATGCTGACAATATGCACAACTAGACTTGGTACTGATCATTTCTGTAAAGTTTGGATGAAATTGCACCAGTAGTTTATGAGGTGTAGTCCAGACAAGTTTTGTGACGGACAGACGGACAGACATACAGACAGACAGACGGACAGACAGACGACGGAGAAGTGATCCCTATATGTCGCCACTACTCCGTAGAGTATAAAAATATACTAATAAATACTGAAAAATCGGTCATTAATCGCACTTAAGATGTAAATTATTACTAGAATTTTTTTACTTTTTCCAAAATCTTTGTACATTTTTCTCGAGTTTGGTTTTCTCGAGATATTTTTGCTCATCTGGAGGCTTGCAGTTTTAAAAGATATCATATAAACTCTGGTTCGGAACAAAATATTTTAAGTTAATGCAAAATAGTATTCATTCTATATGAACATTTTGTAAATGTAAATGTTGTCTGTTTGTTTGCTTTTTCCATACACAGGTCCTTATAGAACATCTTTTATTTCTTTTGTACAGATAATATCAAATAAAGGAGCATGTACTGTGGGCCCACACAGTGTTTGGATGGAATATACTGCTTGATGGTGACCTTAAAATGAGACAGAAGTCATAACCTTATAAAATGTATATAAATATATTCATATACATATTATAAGGTTATGACTTAAATCTCATTTTAAGGTCGCCATCAAGCAGTATATACCATCCATATATTTATATACATATTATAAGGCTATGACTTAAATCTCATTTTAAGGTCGCCATGAAGCAGTATATACCATCCATATATTTATATACATATTATAAGGTTATGACTTAAATCTCATTTTAAGGTCGCCATCAAGCATTATAAACCATCCATATATTTATATACATATTATAAGGTTGTAACTTAAATCGCATTTTAATGTCGCCATCAAGCAGTATATACCATCCATATATTTATTTACATATAATAAGGTCGTAACTTAAATCTCATTTTTAGGTCACATCAAGCAGTATATACCATCCATATATTTATATACATATTATAAGGTTATGACTTAAATCTCATTTTAAGGTCGCCATGAAGCAGTATATACCATCCATATATTTATATACATATTATAAGGTTATGACTTAAAACTCATTTTAATGTCACCATCAAGCAGTATATACCATCCATATATTTATATACATATTATAAGGTTATGACTTAAATCTCATTTTAATGTCACCATCAAGCAGTATAAACCATCCATATATTTATATACATATTATAAGGTTATGACTTAAATCTCATTTTAAGGTCGCCATCAAGCAGTTTATACCATCCATATATTTATATACATATTATAAGGTTATGACTTAAATCTCATTTTAAGTCGCCATCAAGCAGTATATACCATCCATATATTTATATACATATTATAAGGTTATGACTTAAATCTCATTTTAAGGTCGCCATCAAGCAGTATAAGCCATCCATATATTTATATACATATTATAAGGTTGTAACTTAAATCTCATTGTAAGGTCACCATCAAGCAGTATATACCATGCACACACTGTGTGGGCCCCCCTGTGATAAGGACAAAACGAAAACTTTTGTTATTATAACTTGTACACATTTACGCTTGGATGGGCATAATAAAACTTGTTAAGGAAGAATAGGTTTTAAGTGTATATTCAATATTATGCGTCGTGTTTTAGTATCGTATATATTAAAAGTGTAGCTGTACTGTCTTTGAAATACTCTCTCTCTCTCTCTCTCCCTCTCTCTCTCTCCCTCTCTCTCCCTCTCTCTCTCTGTTGAAAAAGCTCTCGAAACTTGTTCTTACATTAGACTGTATTACTTTCATTTTTGTGAAGCCGTCGAGTGCCAAGTTTATTCAGTGTTTGATTGATATTTATTACACCTCGTGTTGTCATTTTCAGTCTCTCCGTAATAAAATTGTAAACGAATCTGTTAAAGTAGTAAAGAAACATAACATACTAGCGAGTATACTATCATTCAAGAATGTTGAAGTTTTGGAAAGCAGTAGCAGTACCTCCTTTACTTAATTATCTAGAACGAAATTTGTTTTTTCAGATTCATAGGATTAGGAAGATAAAATGGTCATATTATGTTATTAATAAGCAAAATCGAAATTTAGTTGATAAGAGTGTACCGAATGTTAAAGTGTTTATCTACTGGTTTAAAAGGTTAGCATGTTTATTTGACACATTGTTAATTCTGAGTAATGTGATGAATTTTAGAATTTAGAATGTTAAAATTTTTGTTAGAGTTCATGAAAGAATTTTGTTTATCATGTTCTTTATTTGTAAGTAACATTGACATGGTTTAGGTCATGAGGTGATTTGCCAGTATTACTTGAGGAGTAAGGTGTCCCTTTATGCATTACTTCAGGAACGAGCAAAGATTAACACGTAGTAGTACAAGTCTTTATGTTTTAAAGATTTTATTATGCTACCTTTTCTCATAATAGATTTTGTTGGTCGGGAAAATTTAATACGTTAAGCAAAGGTTTTATTTTGAACATATCTTACATAATTATATAAGAAAAGTATCACTTTTAGCACACCTCGAAACTCATGGAACAAGGTGGATATAAAGAGAAATGAAGTTAGATTGTGCCACAAGATATCATAAAAATATATACTCTTTGAGGCCAAATTTGAGAAATTCTCTGCAGATTCTATTGGAATGTTCCATTTTGTAAATCAGGGATTGCATGATGGAATGTTCTGTTTCAGCTAATGAAGCCATCTCTATAAACGGCTGGAGTGCAGATAATCCTTTCAGACCAATGTTTATATCCAGTCCTGAAAAGATAAGTTATATGTTCTGAGTATAACATAATAGAGAAAAACTGAATCCCTAAAGAAAGTCCAACACGACAAAATTAAAATTGTTGTCCCCTAGCACCGGCTTAAGCATAATTCAACATTTAACACGAAAATTGTGAAAATTTGAATTTAGAAACATCCGCAGATGTGTTCATACGGCGGTTATCATAGAACCTTCAATGTGACACAGTAGTGCCATTCCATAAAAAGCGGCGTATGGTCCTCAAGTAAAAGTGTGCGAGTGCCCCGAGAAAACAATGGGATAAACTAAATGAAATGAAATTTTGACAGGGGATATGAGGTTATCATAGACAAGACGTCAAAAGACTTTAACAAGAAGTATCTTAAAAAAGATACTCGACCGAAGTCAAACTTGTTAACTTGCATAGGATAAGCTACTACTAACCATGCTAACCGCAAACAGAACATTTTATTCGTCCTCAATAGTTTTATTTCAGTTCATTTTTACCCGCATGTTTTTTCCCCATTAAGTGCCATCTTAGATTTAAACAATATTATTGACATTATTTGAGTTCATGAAAATGAAATTTGATTTGAATAGGAATTTATAATAAAACAAAGATTTAGTAGATACCACGAAGAAATTTTGCAACTGTAAATTAGTCGAAAGTTCGTTTCAATCGTCTTATGCCCGATTCGAGAAGAGAATTTAATGACTATAACAGCTTAGAAGAGAAACACAATCGAATGCAAAGTATCAAAAAGGCGATATGTCATATTGAATTTAATATATTTATTGAAAAGCTGTTAGAAACATCTAGAAAATATCATTATTGTGTTTTATATTTATTCTGACTTATATCTTTTTCTAACACTTCTTGACATCGCGCAATCGAGCAGACCTCTATTTATAACGGAAGCTCTTCTAAAGTGTCAATCGAACAGACTATTAGTGTTAAAATGACCAATGAAAATTCTGCATATATTCAATTCTTTACTGTTTAATTTTAGCGGAAGTCAAGGTGAAATCAGACGGCCTTTGGCCGAAAAAGCAGGCAACATATTCTAAGGGTTATTATACATATTCAAATAGGAATACTGGAACCACCCAAGTTGAAAAGGGCCAAACAGAAGAAAAGTACCACATAACATGTATACACAACAATAGTACTTTCAAGACCTTACTAAGTTTTTTATTAAAATCAAATACAGTCTAATGTACGTGTGTTTTATGCATTTTTACACAATTCTTGGGACCCAAGACAAGACAAACATCTTGTATAGTTATCTTCTCATAAAAGGGCATTATATCTAACTTGAATAGTATGAAATTGTCACGAATAAACATGAAATCAAACAATCAAGGCTTGAATGATATTTTGGCATAGAATATTAATGTGAAAAATGTATTTCCGGAGTTTGGAATTTAATCAAATTTAGATGCATGAAAAATGACTTAATTGATACAAAGTCAATGCATAAGGGAATAAAAAAAATTTGAAGCCTTTTAGATTCTCTAGTCTCTAGTTTTTGGAATAAAATTTTCAGTTAAACAGTTAAATATGAAATATATTGGATTAGAAATATAATGGATTACAAATGTTGCTACAAAAAGAGAATTGTTCATCATTATTCGCATTATTATATACTTTAAAAATTCTACATAAGGGCTAAAGATAGAATGTTTTGTTACCTGTATTAAAATTATATGACCTGGACGCTTCACCCTCGGTAATAACAAAAAGATCACAGTCTTCAATGTATGCAACATTTTCCATTCTTTGTGATAACTTGATCTCGTACAATCTCGGACTGAACTTCATGTTGTTAAGGCAATACGAGTCACTGATACTTGTTTCACTTGACCTTTTATATGTGTTGAAACATTTCAAAAATATATTCCTCATCATCTGGAGAGAAATGATGTTAAAATTGAGGAGGGGAAAGATAAAGTTTGGTACTAAATATAACAGGGCATTAAAGCATATCACAACACATTGAAGCTGTCTAATATTTCTTATTACTTATAATGTACGTGGTGGACATTTTGGTAATATATAGTAGTGAAACATAAACAAAAGATACTCACTGATTTATCTAATACTGTTTTCAATGCCCTGACGACATTCGAGTTACATTTATTTACAGCCAGAGCCATATATCTACACTTAGAATTTCCAAATATCTTCAAAGTGAAATTAGAGCTGTTATTCTCTTCAAATGCTGTCGGCACATATGCAGATAGATCAAAGGATAGATTATGTATTCGCTTCTCCGGTCTAGGAACTAAAGTTTCATTGTTTTTCTCAACTGTAGCGACAGCTCCAAGTATTCCACAAGAATGAATGACACATTCATCACTGAGTCCTAACGTATGTGTAGCTACACCTACAGAACCATCACAACATATAACCAGCTTGCGACCTGAGATTTTGTCTACAGTGTCTCTTATATCCCGTGAAAACTGTCAATAAGAAAAAAACAGAAACAATAAGATTTGCTATTTTTCTTCATAAAACGTAAGTCTTATTTAAAGAAATATATTTATCTGATCTGATGGGATATCAAGACTATATGATATCTACGTAAATTTAAAGTTGATGTGACATTAGTAAGGAATTCATATATCAGGAAATATGATATATGCTACTGTGTCAAAGATAGTTGTCTCTTATGTTTCAATTTCTATTAATAGATATAAATATGTATAATATTTGCTATTTTGTTATTTTATTTACAATCACATTACTCCCTACCATTTTGCAGTAAGGAAATATAAATTATGTAATCTGATTTATTATAATATTTATATATATATATAATCAAAACATACAAAATGTCATTTTGTTGCACTTGTACATCGATATGTCATGGTATCAGTTGAATTATCAAACAGTAAACGTCAGCCCATAATTCAGTTACTCTGTTCATAATTTACATTAACCATGTATGCACTTGATATTTTACAAGTGTATTTTAATTCAATATATTTGACAGTATTATCTTGAAAGGGAAATATATGTTGCCTTGAATTTTTGAACATATGTCCCAAATTTTAATTTCAACAATCTAGCACGTTTTACTAAAATATAATTATAATAGTTAATATCTTACCTTAGTTCCGAAGTTTATTTCAGTTCCCATTGAATACAACGGCAAAGTATGTATTATATATTCCAAGTAAATACCAACACGTGTATAGAAACATCCTTTATGCCACAGACCTTCTAAATTATCAAAATCTACTCCATAACTCCGGAGAAAAGATACTTGAGCTGGTTGCAAAGCAATTTGATAAGTCCGCCTTTCAACATTAGATTTACTTTGTTCTTCGTATAGCACCAATTTCTGTACTCGTTTACAATGAACGGATATAAGGGCGGAAGTCAAACCTATGGGACCTGCCCCTATAATTATAACTGTCAATTGTGCATTATTCCTACGGATTTTGTTTAAGATAGTTTTGGTTCCTACGAATACTGCCACGGCTGAGAATGTTATAACAAAATACAAGGTAACGTGTACATAATTCACATGCAATATCCGTGTAATTTCATCTTCGGTGCATTTCATACTTATGTCTCCTAAAGTGTGGTTTGTATAAAATTCAAATTGAATTTCTTTGTGCTCTGTATGAAAAACTATTTTTACTATCCAATTTCAGACATAGACCAAATTCAGATGATGTTATTTTTTTTTACCTTATAAACTTGTGATAACAAATAAAAAGTGGTTGAAATCCATTGAATTTAATGTATTTAGAATATACGGATAATTCTTTGGTTTCCAAGTCGAAATGTCAATTGGTATACATCCTGAAATACAAGGAGATCATCAATTTTAATGTTTTATAAAAATACTTTAAAAGGTCTCAAACTTGACATGGTCATTCAACAACAACAATAAATATAGATAGGATCTATCAATGTCATATCTATATAAATATAGTGCTACGTCTAATGGCAACTTTTATCGATCAAGCATAAATTGTTTTAAACAATGTATGAAATTAACAATTGTTATAATATCCAAAATAAAGATAGCCTTATTTGAAAAATAACAATTTGTTTTGTAGGAATGAATCCTGTTTACAATAACATTTGTTCACTTTTCATAAAGTATTGTAAACAAGTTATATTTTCGATATTTTGCCCAATCCTAAAATACTATTTACTTTCAGCTTTATTGTATAGAAATACTTGCATTGGACATTTATTTAATTTGATGTTCTTTAAGCTGAGTCAAACGTTGATTTTATGTTGATCGATGTTTTTCTTGTATAAAGATATCGCAACTATTGATGTATTTTGCTTATTTCAGTGTTTAGTGGAGATAATGTGTACATCTTTTTAGTCTTAAATGAAAGTTTAAGAAATCTGTTTCCTCATACCAATTCAACAAATTGATTTATTTTTATCTTCCTAGAAGCTTTCGCTTTTGTTGTTTAAGAAATTGTTTTTTGCTGAATCAATACGATAGATATCGTTTTGTTTAATGAATGTCTAAATTATTTTTGAAGAACCACCGCCAATTGTAATAAAAAGAGTAAAAAAAAGTTCTGAAAGTGTATGAAAAATAAATGCAAATTACAAACAAGAATATAATCATACCTGAGACATCATGTATCCAATACACAGCCTTATTTATCACTGGTTATTTCTGTATCGGAATACGTTACAATAAATGATAGACAGTGAGAGTGTGAATTGTTTCATCAGCTGTTTGTTCAATCTCCAAGTTTCTATCGGATTCCGATACCACATCTGTAGCAAATCATACGTCATTTTGTTATAATACAATTCATTCCATCCCTTTAACAAAACTTGATACTAAAATCTTTGATGTCGGATATCATTTAAAACTATCTCACTACTTGAATTATTTTTTATATAACACTAAAACTGATATTACTAGAAAGCGGACAATGCCTTACGCAATAGAGTATAGCAGCATTGTACAATATTCCTAAATATTATTAAGCTCTGTTTACAAAACGTATCAGATAAAATTTGCAATTCCAACTGCACTAATCACAAAGAAGTAAGAATAACAGCAACAATATATTAGTTATGAACTTACACAATGCATATCAAACGGATAATACTGAAACACGAATTTCCACTTAGTGCTTCACTTATTCCTACACAGCAGTAAGTATTCCCCCTTTATTTCAGAACTTCAATCTCTACTAAAACATCAATGACAATGATTTCTCCTCGTAATACTCTCTTTGATCTTCAATGATATCACATAATCATGAAATAAAAGAGACGCATCCGTGTTGGTTGCGTAATATTGCAATTATCACTATTATTAATCTTTGCTTACACGACTCGCATGTTCCCTTGTGAACATAGAAGGACCGAAAGTGTGTGTTATTATGCAATATAATCACTGTTGACGTTTTATATTTAGATATGTGACGTAATCATTATATCCACTAAAACTGCGACGCACTGAAAATAAGTACGGAAACAATTCAGGCGCAATTTAGCTTAATATCAGGTATGGCAGCATTTTTAAATGTGGTGTTAGAATCGAAATTATATATCTAGATCGGTGATTTTATGGCTTCATAAAGTCACTAATTGTCGTTTGGATGCGCATCAGTATATCACTCGGGCTACGCCCTCGTGATACAATTCATCGCATCCGAACTCCAAACAGTCATTTTATTGAGCGATAAAATTAGTTTGGGATGTGTTATTTCTAAATTAATAAATAATTCGAGAAAGAACTCGAATACTTGATACCATGATTATTTCTACAATTATTTCAGGACGGCGTTACAATAATTTATATATTTTTTTTTCTACATATTTGTCTGTTGTAAACTTTAATTGTGCACTATAATGAGTCCTGAGTACAACATCATTAAAACTGACCACTGGTTTATTTAAATTATTGTTTGGAAACCAAAAGGACATAGTTTCCTGTTTAACACGAGGCATTATTAAAATTCAAAATAATAAATGCAACAGATGACAAAAGATGGTTCATGTAATTGACCCCGAGTTAACTTTAATTTGAAAAAGAAAACTATAAATAAGTACAAGCAAGTTTTTGAGAAATGAAACTAAAAGCATTTATGGTGCATAACGGGCCTTTAAAACTGTCTCCTTTTATAAATAAAGTGAAACTTGAGAAATTGAGAGGCTTTTGACGTGTGTATTTCTGGGGAAAATGTAGGTAATTTAAAACGAGGCATTAAATCAGTCCCGACTGCAGCGTTTATTTTAGGTTACTGTCATTACATAGCATTGAACTAATCTCACAAGTCTTCGGAAGCAATACCCTTACATTACTCCTATGATCTTCCATTATTTCAAAACCGTTCGCAAAATATAGACCTTTACATACCTCCCCTCTATCGATGCCAAATATGGTAGACACGATTTTTTTTAACTTTTACAACGCTTTATATGCAGATATTTCAAGATGGACTTATATAAAATTCAATTTCCGAAAACTTGCAATTTGAAGATGCTATTACTTTTCCTGTATTTTTATGAGTGCTTAATCTAATTAGCAACAGAGCTTGATTTGTATTGTTTATGTATATATGTGAATATATATATTTGGGACATAAATATGTTGAAACTAATGCGTGGTAATGCTTCATAAAAATATGAAAACTATACGTTCTTAAATAATGTTTTTAAACTTTATTTTTCGTTAATATTCATTTACTAATATTCTAATATTTCAAGTCTCCTGTATTCAGCATAGACGTAGTGCTAATGAATTCAAATAAGTCTCAAAGTGCATTTTGTCTGAATGATAATTGCAAATATTTTAATTGGTATGACAGATAGTTTTTCGTTGCATACCTCTTGCATAAAAACTTTGCACACAGCTATTCATTAACGGAGAAACTTGTATGAACAGGTAATCGACTTTGTTGTTGCATGTTTTTATTTTGCGTGACTCAGGGCGCCAAGTTGAAATAACCTGCTGCGATGACGGCCTGGTTGTTAAATGATCAAAACGTAACTGTCAAATCGTCGCTTGAAAATTGTAATGTTCTATCTCCAAATTTTCCAAAAACAAGTTAAAAACACAATTTTGTCCGTAATGGACTGTTCTATCTCCTTGGCATGTTATATTAGTGCTTCAGAGCTTCATTAATAAATCACAACGAAACCATCCTGTTCTATCTCCACAAATTTACTATGTCTTGATAAAAAGACTGTTCTATCTTACTGGACTAATCATATCATCGATACATGTCACGTGACCTGTGGGATATATGCAACATACTGTTCTAAATCCAAAATTATCGTATCAAAACATAGCATCAAATCACGTGATAGCAGGACATCCGCCATGTTGTACAAAACATTTTGAGTTAGATGGTTTGTTGTTTATTTAATATATTAATACTAAATATAAGTATTGAATGATATTATGTATTCATTTATTTCCTCCAATCATTGACATTTTAGTATTAAGTCCTGTAAATTTACTGCATGTGATTTAACAACAAGCAAAACTGATCATGATTTGAAAGTAATTTCGGATGTGTATTTTCGGATAGAAACAACTGTGATCATACAATTTCATCAAACAAATTCGTAAAAAATAAAATTTGTTATATGTTCTAAAGTTTCTTTAACGTAAGGTACATTCTGTCTCAGAAACAAATTATTTATCTTTATAACAGACACATATGAGTTTAAAAATTGATTGTACTCATTGCCAATATGAAACAAAAGCATAAGATGGTTTAGGTTACTGACCAATGTGGAATATTTTGGAAACTATAACAGAACTCAGGCTTTTGAGAGATTAAGATAAAAGCAAAAAAGCCCTTAAAGAAAATTTATAGATATTATACGTTTACATATAATATATGTTTTCGAATGCGTTAATGTTATATAACTAATATATTGCTTTAAAGTAAACACATTTTATATCAAAGACAGAAGGAAGAAAAATATTCTTATACGTATATTTTGTTTGTCTTGTAATTTGACTTTGAATTTCTAAATGAATATTTATATAGCATTATGTTTGTAATGTTTTTGTACACGAATAATCTTTAAATATGACATTTTTCAAATATAAGTCGTGCCTGTTCCACCTTTAAGGTCTTTTCTAGCAGATATGTTTTCATTGCCTATTTCAGTTATAGAAACATTTTTTTACATATCAATTATAAGAACTTCTTATCAACACACAGAACATGTAAAGCGCATAACAAAATAATTACTACTATTTCATACTTTTGAAGGAATTTGAATTTGGCAATCTTTTAAATTTTCATAAAACAAATCTTGAAAGATTGTCCTAGCATTCTAGAAAATTTGAAAGTTTTTTTTCCGGTTTGCGGCTATAACTTTCTTTTTCCAGACATTGAATCACTTTGAATGTGGCCAAAGTTATAAAATGTCTACAAAATTTATGTGGGTATTTTATCTTTATTTACTTAAATTATTTGTTTAAATGTCTTTTTAATAATGTTATGGATTGAAGGATTTTAATAAGATTTCGAATGTCATAGTTCATATAGTTAGATACATATGGTCTAAGAAATAGTGTAGTGTCAAAGTCAACTAAATTAATGACATCGTATTAGCACGGTAAAAACATGGCAAAACATGTTTCTTTATTAAAAACACAAATTAAACACTTTTATACAAGAGTATGCGCTAACGCACTTTCTTTCGTGCATATTCATATGCAGAAACCCTCGGAATAATCTAATCCGGGGTTTTGGCGCTCGGTCTTTCAACCACGCAAAATACTTTTCAGTACAGTATTTACGCTGATATGTCAAAAATCCAATTTATAGAAAATATCAGCAGTGAGTTCATTGATATCTCATGT